CTGAAACTGCTGCTGATGATGTAAATCCTGAGTTCAAGTTTGCATTATGCTACAAACCACATCATCTTGCTTCCAGAATGTGTGGTTTCTCATCACAGTGAAATCTGGCACATCTTTTTTTGGCACTATACAAAGGTTATGCTTCATGGCACATTGCACTTTTTTTGGAAATATTAACTCACCAAGTGAAGGTTACTATCGTACACACYATATCTGTCAAACAAGTTTTGGTTCGACTCTATTTGGTAGCGTAAAAAAGTGTTTCTATAGAAAATATACATAGGTAAGGTCATCTTTATCAAGATATTCATAAAAGTCTGTAGGAGTGGATCCATAATAAACACATAGCAAAAACACCACATTTATATCCAGTTACTGATGCACTGTTACATGAAAAGCACCATGCTCACACTGATTCAAACATCACAAGTCGTCACTTCTCTTTAAAATATAAGGTGTATCAGAAAGGTAAGATTAACAAATATAGATTGAAATCTGTATATTTATGTAGTTAAAAGTGCAAACATTAATATTTAATGAATATAAATATTTTAACTTGATTGTCCTAAAGGCTCCTTCACACCCAATGATGACTCCTGAACAGATTTCAAATGAATGTGGCTGCCTGTTGAAGGTCTGGGCAGTGTCTTCAAGTGCAGACATGAGAACAGAGTGGATCATTTATTATATATGGTTATGTTCAATTGTTTGTTAACACTAATAGTTAATCAGCCAATTACATGACAGCAACATAACACCCAAAATTGTGGCGCGAGCACCACCATGAGGGCCTCAAATAAAAAAATCTGTTTTTCAACYACGAGGTCTGCGAGACGTCCCTGGCTGTGTCTCAACTCATGGTCCTTGTGAGCACAGAGCCCAGCTGGACCATGTGGGCCGCATCCTTTTCAGCCCAGGTAGGCTGCACAGGTAGGCTGCACAGGTAGGCTGCACAGGTAGGCTGCATGAAACTGCAGTGAAACGAGACGGTCTGGCTTTCACCTGACGTATGTTTGTGTGGCCACGCCCACTACCTTAGAGATCAGTTTCATCAGACTGAAAATGTGTCGGGACGTGTATTCTCACGTCTTTTCACCAGAAGAATAATCTTCAAAATTAAAATGTAATAAATAAACGAATAAATAAATAAATAAATAAATAAAACATTAATAAGTTGTAGGGGTGCAACAATACATGTACCTGTATCGAACAGAGCTTTAGGTTCAACACAAACTATGTATGAAACAAAACAGATATTTAAAACTTTACTTTCTGAACTTGTCTTCTGAAGATGCTCTGTGTTGAAGGATCAGTGGATCTGTGTTCGACTACTCCACCTAGGCTGCATTGTTGAGCTCAGATCCACTGAGAAACTTGCTGTTTCAGCAACATTTAATTTAAAAACTGTACTTTTGAGGTTAAACAAATGTTCATAATTAATTACAAGTTAAAAGGGGCATGGAAATTTCTCTTTTTTGTATCGAAAAAATATCGAACCGTGAGACTAAAGTATCGAACCGAATCGTGAATTTTCTGTATCGTTGCAGCCCTACTAAGTTGCTGAACTAATATTTAAAAACAAATTCTTTGGTCTGTAATGAATTTCCAAACTACACCAACTTGGCAAAAAAAATAAAAATAAAAACTCCACTGTCTTCATTTGTCTGTTTAGTTTGCTGCATTGAATCCTGGGAGGAAGGATTCTCRGGTGCAGGATTGTTTCTCCACATTTAGTGGGCTACAGGAGGCGGAGCCTTTGAATTGGGACAGCACTCGGTGCGAGGCAGTGACGCACTCATGAGGACGCAGCTCATGGTTTTCAACTGACTCTCACCACTAACAGCAGCAGTGTGCCACTCAGAGGTCTGACAACTTTCTTAATACATAGAAGAAGAACCGCAGACTGCTGCTAGCTCAAAGGATAGAAATGGAAACATTTTACAGGAAAAGTTGAAGGAAAAAAATGAAAAAGAGAAGAAAAAGAAAGAAAACCCACAACTGGTTATAAGTTAAATGCAGACTTTATCAAATATGGTTATATGGGACCAGATATCCACTGAACCTCTGCAGTGAGAAAAGAAACTATCCAGGAAGTGGGTGTTAAAGCAGCAGAGAACCACACTGAGTTTACTGAGGCTATAATTCACACAGCTTCACCCAAACTGGACTACAGGACATTTAGAAAGTAATTACTGAGAGTACTTACATGTACTACCATCATGTCTGGTCTTTGTTATAAAATGTGACCTGCAGTAGCTGAGTTATTACTTTATTTACTTGAAACCAGACTAGTCATCAGTATACTGACAGCATGCTGTTTTGGATCAACTAATTTTATACTAAATATATTTTAATGTAATTAAATTGTTTAAAAAAAACACAATTTGAAGTGTATTAAGTGTACTATTACATGCTACAGTGGAACTTCAAGTATACTTTGTACACTTTAAGTATAGTGTTTTGTGTACTAATAACCTTTTTACTCTATGCTACTTTGTACGTTATTTACTTCATACCAAGGTACTGCAAAAGTATTAGACTACCAGTAAACTTAAGGCTTAATAAAATAAGGGACGGTTGAGTAGTCCATTATTTAATTCAGCCTTCAGTAAAATGGTAGCCTAATACTTTTGCAGTACCTCAGTATGAAGGAAAACATTATGTTCGAAGTAGCATAGAGTAAAAATATTGATAAGTAGCTTAAAATTGTACTTCCTTACTAATTATAATACACCAAAAGTATACTATAATTATGATATATTAAAAGTTTACTGCTTATGAATTTGAAATACATTAAAAATACAACTTAAATAGAATTCATTTACAAAAACTGTGCACTGAATTTTTACCAAGCATRTTATTAGTACATACAAAGATATACACTTAAAGCCAACTAAGTATATTTAAGTTGTTCGACTTTAGTATTTAAAAATATACTTAATACACTTAAAATTGTACTTTTGTACAACTTAAATACAATTAAAGTATATTTAGTATTAAATTAGTTGTTCCAAAATAGCACTCTTTAATTATACTGATGATTAGTGCGGCTTCAAGTRTACTTAGACTTAGTGTACTTAGTATATGTTTTCCCTTTTGACGACTGCTCCTGCTGTTTGCATGTGATGTTTCACACGCTCGGCTCATCCTCATCACTTTGAGCTTTCTGGCGTTGCTGCTGCTGTTTGTAATGATGCGCAGTGCGAGGACGGTTCTGTGACTGACAGGAGTGAGTATTGGCTCTGAACGCAGCCCACCCGGGCACGGGACTACTGTACCACTGCAGCAGTAAAAACACATTTAGAAACAAATGAGTGGATCTTTTTAGGCAAAGCAAGCGGTTCATCTGAACGGGCAAGTCCACTCAGAGAGGAAAACCTTGAGCTGCACACTGGTTCTTCTTCAAAACGTGTGTGTGCTGACGTGCTTGTGYGTTTTAGYGTGAGAAATGCCAYGTGTGGCGTGTGCACGTCATGAAATGTGTGTCTCACGGTCAGTGCGTGTGCATAGCTTAGCCATGTTGGCCTTACGTCTCGACTACAATCACGATCATGAGAAAACCGTGAAAACAAGCTAGCGCAGACGTGATACTATTGACACAAGCATCACGTCACTAGCTGTGTTTCCATCGCAAATGTGCGCAAAACTTTGTTGATATTCTGTTAATGTCTTAAAAACACAGTTTCACAACTGCGGTGTTTCCATTAAGTAAGAAATG